AATAGTGATAATTGATAATAACTATCAGGAGTGCTATTCCATACAGGTATACTTGAAAACATCCTGTGTTTTATGATGTGTACATATAGATCAATATCGTAACTCTTAAAATTAAATAATTAATGTGACATATAGATCAATATGTATAAATTAAACCAATATTGTGCTAAATTATACCATGTGTGCTCAATCAATGATATCAATACAATAAAATTGTGCAAATATAATACATAAAGTGCATGAATAAATTAAAAAGTCTTTTTTATAAAATTAGTGCAATGTGCAATGTGCAGGTGAACTCCTTAATCCCTCTTTCCAGGTGCCGTGTAGTCTCAATATGCGCTCACCTTAATATTTGCCCAAATAAATTTAGGCAAATAAACTTTTTGTCCTTCCAGGACTGGTGGGATGATGCTCCTATATATGGTATTCCAAATGGAAGTGAAGGCCTGCTCAGATCCTCTTTTTATCTCCTCTTACTCCATACACATAGCCACTCATGGAATGTAGACCTTTGGAGCATATGTGAAAATCTCCTATTTCCTAAATTTATTTGGGCAAATATTAAGGTGAGCGCATATTGAGACTACACGGCACCTGGAAAGAGGGATTAAGGAGTTCACCTGCACATTGCACATTGCACTAATTTATAAAAAAGACTTTTTAATTTATTCATGCACTTTATGTATTATATTTGCACAATTTATTGTATTGATATCATTGAATGAGCACACATGGTATAATTTAGCACAATATTGGTTTAATTTATACATATTGATCTATATGTCACATTAATTATTTATTATCAATTATCACTATTTAGTTTATTTATTTATTTAGATGAGTGACACATAATATGTGATTAAGAATTTATAGTAGGAGCGTGGCATTATAAGTATATATAAAATGTTTATATTATTGCTGTTGCTATATTTATATTTATTATTATTATACAGGATTTTTATAGCTCCAACAGTTTGCTCAGCACTTTACAATATAAAGGGAGACAATACAGCAACAATACAGTTCAATACAAGAGGGATAGGAGGGCCCTGCTCCTTGGAGTTTACAATCTAGGAGTTTATAAATTGTATGCATTGAGGATGTTGACCTATATTGGTCTTCATCCTTCAATTAAGTCAAGTATGCTTGCAAATCTGTGATTTTCTGGCAGATTATTAAAATATTACTACTATATGCATCTCTAAATGCTTTTAAGGGTTGATTTTAGGCTGTCTGACCTTCTCCCTGCATTATGGAAGGCCATGCAATCTATGGTCATAGGTTTTCTTCCTGCAGCTATTCTTCTGATAGCCTGATTACAGTGAAATAAGTGAATAAAAATAGAATACAACTGGATGATGATAGCCTGGGAGTGAGAGAGATTATGCTTGCAAAGTAGAGGAATCGTAGACATGCTTGGTCAACGATCACATCAATACCAAAAAATACAGAAAACAAAATAAAAATGTAAATTATAAAAAAAAAAAAAAAAATATGGCTGGAAAATTGCCACTCTGGAGCAACCCACGCCAGGAAATTTCCACTAAATAATGTGCAAAGAGTTTCAGTGCAAAAAGCTTAGATGAAGTTTGGCTCATGCCTCCGATGTCTGCTGCCTGTCCAGCCACTTTATATTGGTTGCTATTATATCAAAAACATCACAGTCTAAATTTTACTGGCAATCCATATTGTAAACGGTAAAAAAATCTAATACATATCCAAAATATGTGATGCCAAAATATGGCATATCTGGCACAGTCTATGAAAATCATACTGTTCCGTAAAACCACACACAGCCTAAAGGCATCTCCTAAGCATGTAATTGAAAGGATTGGTGTTTTTCTTTTGTGTTCCTTGAAGTTGGTTTAAAAAATGTATTGCTTTGTTAAATATCCAATATGGAAGTACCCATGTCTCCATGCCCCTTTTTGACAATAGCTTGCCTAAAGTTTAAGGGGTTTAATGCAAAGTTCATTTTTCACAGACTTCACACAGGTTACAATTAACTCATTGCGAACCGAACCTAGGCAGAATTGTTCATCCCTGATTTACTAAAGAAGTAATTTTTAGTCTAGCCTGTGTTCACTTTAGATGCATACAGTATATTGCCAGCACACCTTGAAGCCTCAAAATAGTGTCCAAAAATGGATTAAAGAGATCACATCACAGCAGTAAATTACATTTCGTGGCCACCCTAGACCCCTTCATCAGACATGTGATAAGTACAAACAGCAAACTCGGTACAGTGACATTTAAAGCACCATTCACCAATCAATTTTGAGTTGTTAGCCTGAGTTGTTGTTAGCCTGAGTTGTTGAGTTGTTAGCCGTAAAGCCTCATGGTTAACATTCATCTACAATTTAGCCAGGCTTATAATGTATACGTAACACTATCAATAGGACAGATATATGAATTGGACCAACACTCAGATGTTACCATAATGTGAATCTGTTCGTTGCCCAAGGGTGAAGGGGTTGGGACCAAGAATGGTCTTTCAAGAATGGTCAGGACTTTCATGACTTGGACAGAAATAAAGGTCCCATGTGCAGTCTGTTCCTAGGATCCTTGGACCCAAAAAGATAAATGTAAAGCCTAACAGAGGTACTTGCTAGTCTCCAAGCGTAGTTTTACATGTCATCGGATTTTTTAATATAGCTGGAGCTGAACATTTAATGTAAAAGCGTTACCCAAAATATAAAAAAAGTTTGTACTTACTACTGTTAACAAGGTTTTGTGCCACATCATATGTAATTTCTAAAAGTGAAAACAGTAATTAATAATTACTAGTTATTTATACAAATTGGTATGTGTGTATGTATGTGTGTGTGTATATGTCTATATTACTACATGTAAGAACCCCAGCAGGGATTCCCATGATTACCTGTGAGAGGCAGCCCCATTGAAATCAATAGGAGGTTACGAGCTCCCGCAGCTTATCACACCCACTCCCATGTAATCGCTCATACAGCAATCACATGTGAGCAATTGGTCCTGGATGCAGGCAATCTGCTTCCAGGGCTGATCACTTACATGTGATTGCTGCATAAGGGATTACATGCAAGTGGATGTGAATAGCTGCAGGAGCCCGTAGAGTCCCATTGGTTTCAATTGGGCTGCCTCTCACAGCTAAACTCAGAAAACCCTCTCTGGGGTTCTCGCACATAACTGAAATGCTTGTACATTCAAAAGTGTGAATGCACCTTAAGGGTGGGAATTATTATAAAAATCTCATTTCACAACTTTTAATGCTGAAAGTAGTCCTGCTCTTGTTCTCACATCTGCTCAGAAGAAGTCAAGGAAAGATAAAAAAGAGGAAGAAACTTATTTTTTCCTAAATCAGTCATGAGTTGTCCTACTTACCTGTCAGTTGCAGTGAATTCCTGTCAATGTTGAATTGTGCCGTGTTTGTATTTTTCATGCTTTCTGAGAATATCTTCTGAACAGATACATTTTTGCTGAATAAACTATCAAAATTTAAAGTCATCACAAATTCTGGGATAACACTTCCAGGGCTGAGGAAAAAAACAAGAACATGTTACGTAAATACACATCAAGCACACTTTAGGCTTCATGCACATGAGCAAATTTGCCTGTGTGGTGTAAAGAGGCTACTTGTTTCCTCTAACATGAAAATTAAGAAAGAAAAAAAGCAACACTAAATAATATGTATAGTATACTGTATAATTTACTGCATATGAAAAATGATATTATGCTTAGAACTCTCTAAACTGCAATGTGCCATAAATAAACTGCAAAAATATAGTAATATTCCTGTGCAAAAAACTTAAAGTGCTGGAAGTACCATACTGTACTTATGCTAAAAGCATATAAACTTCATAAATTGTGCAAACTAAATCACAAGTCCATAAAGTTCAATAAAACTAGAGAAATCAATAGGCGTCCATTTAAAAAAAATGGTGGACTATATTATTTTGGGTGAATGATTTTTGATTTAAATAATTTAATTGAACTTTATGGACTTGAGACTTAAGTTTCACAATTTTAGAGGTTTATATGCTTATAGCATAAGCACACAGCGTCAAACTTTCAGCACTTTATTGAATTTTTTGCACAGGATCATTTCTATATTTTGCAGTTTATTTATTGCATGTTGCACTTTATAGTGTTCTAAGCTCATGGTGTTTTTCATATATATTATATATCACACATACTAATTAATGCTGCTATTTTTTTTCATTTTTTCTTTGTTATCTGGCTTGGTGTTAAAGGTACACCTGTTGGTAGCTGTTGGGTCTTTTTTGGGTGGATAAGAATTTGGGGCCAAGTGGGATACTCGTAATAATTTCATAATCGTAAAAATTAAGCCTTGAAATGTATATAAGGAACACAGTGTAACTGCTCAGGGCTGCAGTTTTTCACCTAGGCACAGCTATACAGCAGTTACTGGATGCAGCTGATGTGGGCTACTTGTTGTCTCCTAAAAGATAATTTGATGTATGTAAGAAAGTGTAGATATTATGGTCATAACAGTTACTTCATCCCAGATATTAGTTCAATTTAATTCTGCCTGTAAATTTAAATCTGAATCATGCACAGAAAAAGTTGCACAGCAAAGGCTTGAAACAACAAATGTACCCATCTCATGCATGGGGAGCTCTGTAAAAACTGTAAATTACAGAGAACCTAGGGAAGGTGAGTTGACTTTCTGGCTTTAACACAACTTCAGTGTTCCCTAGATGATATTTTTGGCCTGCTGATTTATTTCTCATTGCCCAGAATTCTTTAATGCATACACCATGCTATGCAGTACATTACGGACTGACTGCTCTTTTTATAGCAAATGTCCAAATACATTTTTATTCCCTTTAGAGGAAACAACCACAGGAGTCAGGCTTCAGCCACTCCCAGTCCTGTGATGATAAGTCAAGGCTACAACCCTCTTGGCACCCTCCCGCCCAACATTCTTTGAAGGAGCTGGGCAGAAAATTGTTGGCTGAACATTGCCTGTCTTTAACATAGTTAAAGGAATTTTTTTTTGGTTCAGTCCACAACAGGGGCGGATTGACCATTTGGAAACTCAGGCACTGCCCAAGGGCCCGGGGTCAGTAGGGGGCCCCATAAGATGCCCCTGGTACCTTTTTCATAAGGTTTTTTGAGTTTGGGCAAGGACACAGGGGCCCCTTGATCCCCTATTGCCTGGGGGCCCCATGAGTTGTCAGTCCGCCCCTGGTCCACAATCTAAGAAAAAAAAGTCTACGTGTGTATGACCAGGTTTATACTACAGGAGATAGGTGTGGACATTATTCATGTATTTCAAAATATTCAATTTACTGCTGAAATCAACGGTCACATACCTTAGACTGACAACTTGTACCTTTTTGTATTCATTTCTCAGCTCTGAAGAATTAAATATTGAATCGATCTGCAACAGATACAAATGCAATCAACACTAGTAGTACTCCAAAATGATATTATACAAAGCAATATTGATATAATAAAACTTGAATTAATTACGTTCAATACTTTATTTTAAGCATATTTACAATTTAAATAACCTCTTTAAATTTTCACATTTTCTTTTAAATGTATAAGCTATCATGAGACACTGAAAACATCTGAAAATGTGACTGCATAATTGAGACTCTGGCATATGAAGTCATAAATCAGACACATGGGAGGTTATTTACTGAAACTGGTGAGTGCAAAATCTGGTGCAGCTCCCAGGTTTTATTGCCAAAGCTTAATTGCACAAGCTGAAGTTAGAAGGTGATTGTCTACCATGCACAGCTGCACCAGATCCTGAGCGAACCAGTTTTAGTTAATGTGCCCCATGTTGTCTTACATTCCTAGATTTCTATTCATTTAAAATCTGCAATATATTACGATTTCGGTTCTGATCATATAGTTTAAAGCAAAAGGAATGAGTTTGCCAGTCATACACACCTGTGGACATAGTGATTGCTGCTAAATAGTAAAAACTTGTCAGCAAAATGTCCAAGAAATGGACTGTACAGGTTGTTTAGTTTAGGATGGACAGAGACAAGAATTATGTGGCTACTATACTAGCTAGAAATGACTGGATCAAACATCTCACGATTGTTGTACCTTCAGGCAGTGGCAATTTATCATGCCTACCATTCTGTTTGGATATGATAAGTTGAACTGAAAACCATGCCAGATTGATATTGCAGGGTAGTTAGTGCTGAAGCATTCATGCCTTGCCCACCCTTTTTCCCATGATCTGTTTGGATATGAGCAGTAGGACTGAAAGCCATGCCAGATTGATATTGCAGGGTAGTTAGTGCCGGAGCATTCATGCCTTGCCCACCTTTTTTCCCAAGAACTGTTTGGATATGATCAGTTGAACTGAAAGACATGCCAGATTGATATTGCAGGGTAGTTAGTACCGGAGCATTCATGCCTTGCCCACCCTTTTTCCCATGATCTGTTTGGATATGAGCAGTAGGATTGAAAGCCATGCCAGATTGATATTTCAGGATAGTTAGTGCCGGAGAATTCATGCCTTGCCCACCCTTTTTTCCATGATATGTTTGGATATGATCAGTTGGACTGAAAGCCATGCCAGATTGATATTGCAGGGTAGTTAGTGCTGGAGCATTCATGCCTTACCTACCCTTTTTCCCATGATCTGTTTGGATATGATCAGTAGGACTGAAAGCCATGCCAGATTGATATTGCAGGGTAGTTAGTGCCGGATCATTCATGGCTTGCCCACCCTTTTTCCCATGATCACCACCACCAATGACAAAGAGTTTGCCAGTGTGTTCCCTGCATTGCTCTTCCTTTCTCTTGATGTGGTTGTGCTGTGTCTAAATTTGTGACTAAATTTTAAAGTCCTTGGATGACTTTAATCTGTGAGCTTCCTAAGCTAAGGGAAGGGGGTGCTTGTTCTGACTCTTAGTATGTTAGAAGGGGTTATGGCCAAAGGAGAAGGCAAGATCGAGGAGAGGGCAGACCTCTAGTAAGGGGTGTACAAGGTAGGCCTATGGCCTGGGAGGAACCAAGACCATGACTTTGGGACATACTGGGATATGGTAAGCCCCCTCTCTGCCACTACCATAGGATGAGTCCAGTTACAAACTGAGTTTTTCCTCCATAACTGTGGTTATACTGTACTAGTTGAACAGAATTATGCAGTGAAATTTGTACCATGTTCTTACTCTTTGTGAAGAAACTCTGCACAGTGAAAGAGTTAAAGAAAGACACTTTGCCTTTGTGTAATACTGAGGGTAACTGATTTTAGACACAGTGGATGCAATTGCTTGAAGGCTAAAGGCAGTTGGGCACAGCAGTAAAGTTCTACAGTGGTTCACCAACACTCAGGCTCAGTCTATGCCTAGGGAATGCCATGAGCACCTGGTTTGTAAATTTGAGTGTTGGTGATCAATTACATGGGTGAGTTGGAGGGGGTGACCAGGTAGGTTCCCCAGAGTACTGGTTAAAACACATGAGCACCTGTGTTTCATTGGCCCCAGCTGTAATGTAAGAAAATGTTAATTGCATCACCTTAGTACAGAGGCATCTGTAGAAAGTGTGTAGTGCCCCTGCAAAGAGAACTGATAATTAACTGTACTGGATATCAGTGGGATGTACTGGTGCTCAGGCACACTATCCTTGCAAAGCTGCTGAACAGGAGGCCTATGTAGCTCCACAAACTGGCTTAACAAGCCATACACTACGGACCTTCCTTTATGTAGATGTTTGAATGATCAGCTAATATTTTAATATACATTCTGATATCTATGTCTTGTGACCTTTAACAAGGCAGAGACACGGGTTCTGAAAAAGGCATCCCCCGTATCCATATACACTGGCACAGGAGACTTTGACAAATACACAGTGGCTTAGCAAGAGTTTAACAGTGTTCATGATCAATTGTTTCAGTGGTGCAAAAATGTTCTTCTATTTTTACAATATATGAAAAGAAAGATTCACATTTCTCTAAAGCTAATAAAAACTACTTACAAATCCTTCAATTTGAACAGCCATTGACTGAAATTCAAGGCTACTGCTTTTCCTATAATCTTCTGTATAGTTTAAATTTAAAATCCTAAAAGAACCGCTATAATACGCAAGGCTGGATCCTGATTTGCTGCTTGTTCCTGTAAAAAGAAGCAAAGTTTGTGTCTATTAAGATTTTATGCCACATGCCCTTAAAACCATTTGTCAGTTTCCTTGTTTTATTAGCTTGGTATGTTAATAATTGATATCACAGATAAAACATTTTTCTACAGCATGCGGTTTTTTTTATATTTGTGCTAGCAGATGCTTTGGGCTGCTGAGACATAAAGTAGTACACCTGGCCTACAGGAGAATGGTGTCATTTCATGCATTGTAAATATAATATTTCACCATTTTAATAACAATGTATTTAACAATGAAAGTCTATGCAAACCCTAACAAGGTACTCACTTTTGATGTTTTAAGTATACCACTGAATACTTTTTGCTATATCTGTTTGGTAAATGTAAATATACTGGTTGATCCTGCCAGAAATCCAGTGATCTTGTAATTTCTTTGCACTGCTATCTCAAGCACTCTTATCAGCCCACCAAAGGTTACCTCTGTTAACTACAGAACACCTCCCCATGTTGTGTAGATGAGGAAGGGGGGAGTAGTCCTTGCTCACTTCCTGTCCTAGGAAACAAAGCCTAAGCTCTACAGATACAGTACAGTGAATGTTGACCCCCTATGAAAGGCAATGTGTTACTGGCAGGGACGCTAGGTGATTGCGAAGGGAAAAAAAGCCTAAAAAAAGAAATTTAATTTAATGCAGCCTCAATATCTAAGAATTGGTCATCTGCAATATACATAATAATATTACATTCTTGTTCTTGGGTTTAGATATACCATAAGGTACAACTAAAGGCTTCTGTATGACAGTCTAAACAAGAACCATATCCAGTTGTGGCCAGGTACCAAATAATAAGCTGTAGACTTGTGAAACAGCAGTAAAAATGCTAATAGCCACATAACCATTTTATTACACTATCGTTCAAGCAGGCAAAGCCTACATGGGAGTGACAACTCTGTTCTGAATTCGGGCACAGGGCAGCATTGTTGCCACACCATCACAGGAAGTTGCATTAGGTGGACTTTGCCTGGAAGGCTCAACGGGCATTTGTAGAGAACCTAAGAGAAAACTGTAAGTAGAGACACATTTATAATTGAGGCAAAACGTTTAGGCACTATAACTCTTTTTAAGTGCTGCCACCCCTAATGCCTCCAAGAATACTGCATACAATGAAGCACAAATCGCAAGGTAACTACTTTTTTTGCTTCATTTGTTATGGGGGTCACATGAACACAAAGTCCAGGGCCCTCTGTGTGATGTGCAAGGCCAGCATCTGGGTGGAATTCCCTAAAGTGATGATGTCACTCACCAGCATCCCCTGTTCTAAGAGATGATGAAGGAGGATGTAGTCTCACCAGCTACACATCACACAGAGGTGCCTGGGGCTTTGGGGCCATGTGCTAGCATAGAAAAGTAAACAAAAGAAAAGGTATTTACATTATGATTTGTGCTTCACATTGAGCACATTGAGGGGGGCAATGAGGACAGCAGCATTTAAAGAAAAACTGTCACTAGCCTACATATATGTGCATTCCCATGGAGGAGTTATGGCCAGCACTGCACCCTGCCCCCTGTCCATTCTACTGCGCTGTTTCTCTTCATCTCACCTGTTTAGTACAGAGATTCAGCTTGCTGGGGAACAGAGAAAGTGGAAACTGTCAGCTTGTAGTGTGGGACGGAATAGTGTAGTACCTGGCTTGTGTTGTTGTCAGCTTGTATCTTTGTGAATGAAAGCCCTTTTCTCCAGCTGCAGTCATTCATCACACAAGTTGGTACACAGATGCACAGTTAGCTATATACTGCTTGTCAGGGATGCGGGTGTGACCAGAAGTGTGTGTACTGACACAGGGAAACGCAAGCTTCAGATATGGTATAAACAAGACAATTTATTGAGACTAACAATACAAACATAAACGCAGTGCACCAAACCCCAAGCTAACACAAATACATACAACAAGGTGAAACAAACCCAAACCTAAACTGATATAGATACACAGGTACATACACATATAGAGCACAATGTAGTCAGACAGGCCGGGTCGATAACTATCGGGCAGGTAGGTACAGGAGGAGCAGGCGGAGAGAATGGTCAGGGTCACAAGCCAGGGATCAAACAGGAGAAGTCAGCAGAGGTCAGGATCAGGCAGGGTCGGCAACAAGTCAGACAGGAATAGGAATGCAAGATACTGGGGCCCATGGAAAAACAC